GGCAAATATGCCAAATTACTATGCGAAATTGCTGGAAAGCGTCCGCAATGTCAATATGTTTATGAATTACAACTGAGTGATAGGGCAATGTCGTCAGCGAGTCCATCTGCTTGGCCTGTATTCCATAGTGTCAAAGAGCTATTCAATAAGTTTTCTATTGACATTGAACAAACCCCTACTTCTGACGAACAGAAACAATTGTTTATTGACGCAGTGGATAAGGAATCATCGTCAATCGGCATATTCAGTTCAAATTCGATACAAAAAACCTTTCACTACTTGAGCAAGGAGTCGCTTAAATTTCTTCTATTTCAATCGTGCATTGAAGTGCTGCTTCGTATGAAGCATGATCACAATGCTTTAGCGCATATGTTGTGCTACTGCCGACAACACTACGAGCACGACAGGACTGAAATGGACAAGATAGATGAGTTTCATAAAAATTGTTGGGAAACTGGAGCCATTTATTATTACACTACTGATTCGTTCCTCTTTCGGCAGGTCAATGAAGCATTTCGATACGAAGACATTGAACGCATCTTCACATTTCGTCAATATATAACCGATCTGCATCGACAATTGGCCCAGCAACCTATCCCTTGTCAAAACACGATGCCATTTCTTCGAGGCAAAAAATTGTCGATTACTGTATTGCAACAATTAAACGATAATGTAGGAAATCTTATCTCTATGAACGGTTTCCTTTCGACTACACGAGATCTTAATGTTGCCAAAATATTCGCTGGCGTTGACGAAAATCTGGATGGCTACGAGAGTGCTGTGTTTGAGATGTATGTTGATAAAGTAGTGAGGATTGGACGATCCTATGCTGATATTAAGGACCTCAGTAAATTCCCCGAAGAGCATGAAGTTCTCTTTTCTATGGGTTTTGTTTGGCAAATTCAATCCATGGATAAAGGTGATCATAGTTTTTGGACAATCGTAATGCGCTCATGCAGTGATCTCGATTCTGAGCAGGCGAATCATTTTAAAGAACTGTCAAGTGGTTATACTTTTCTTTCAATGGGAAATATTTTGCATGAACTCGGCGAGTTTACTAATGCCGAAAATTTTTACTATCGTATGCTAGAAGATCGTGATCTTCCAAATGAAACACGTGGTCATGTCTATTATAATATTGCTATGTTAGCTGATGAACAGGGGAAATATTTTTCTGCATTGGAAAATCTTCACCGTACACTAGATTTCATCAAACCAACGACAACACCAAACGATAGACGCTCAGCTGCCTCTCTACCACTCATTGCACCCGGTCGTTTGACTTCTCGACTACGTATCTTGAACAATATGGGTTTATTGTATCATAAGATGAGCGACTATGAACGTGCCTACAGATCATTTACAGAAGCCCTTGCTGAACAAGATTGCGCAGCCGAGATAGCTAATGTGCACAATAATTTAGGTCGGCTCGAATTTGAATATGCAAAGTATGAGGAAGCTCACGGACATTTTACTCAAGCTGTCGAATTGGCCAAAGATAATGAGCGAGTGGCAGAATTCAAGCAACATTTGAACGCTGTCAATCAACGTCTTTGCAAGTGAACACTAGTGTGGGTACAATCAAAAATGAATAAGTAGATTGTACTGCTATAGATATAGTTGTTCAGATATCGGCTTGATTGAGTTGGCAAAGGTGAGAAAGAAAGAAAGAATAGAAAGAGTTCATGTGGACCCTATTTTGATTAAAAAACAGTCTGTTGAGCATTTGAGTTGTACAATATACCCTGTTGGATCAGATCAACATGATTATATACTGGAGTTAGTACACCCATATCCTTAAATTTAATTCTGTATCGCATTTTGAGGACAACTACAAACCACGCTCCACGGTACTCCTTAATTCAGTTGAAGTCAATTCATGCATATTTGACGTTTTTCCATTCATCAATGTGCGTAAGTGATGAAAAAAATAAAACATACTCACTTCCCGCAAAAATGACAAAATTTGGTTTCTTGATGTCTTCTGATAGCTGTCGCTGAGTGAACGAAGCACATTGTGGACTTACTATTGGTCTACTCTCTATGGAATTGTGACACAAAGTTTCTCTGAAACATACAATAAAATGGCATCAACAGCAGGAGGCCGAGTCGATACTGTTGCTTAGCCTCTCAGCAGAGATGAGCATCTCAGAGGCTTTCAAGTCCCGAGTCCAGTCAAGTTTTTCGGAAAAACTTCACGTTAAGTTAAGTAAATTCATGAGTCACAAACAAAATCACCAGTCAAGTCAGGGCTCTTTTCAAGTCATGTTTCTTCAAATTTTTTTTCTACTCGTTGCGCAGGCTTTAAATTCAATGTTTTCATTCTTTATAAAAGACAACTCAGTTCTTGTCCAGATTTTTGTCAGACGAAGAAGGAGCAACAGAATCTGTTGTTTTAGTCTGCGGGTGATCACAGTATAAAGCGGGTCGGGGGCTTTGCGGTTTAAGAACAGTTTATAACCTTAGATAGCACAGTACAGAGAAATCGATGAATCATACAGAAACGGACACAGGTCAATCAAATGTTCCACAGAAATGGAAAAAGATTTTGCTTACATATTTGTGACCTTTTAGCCTCACCACAACACGACTGCAGTCTTTTGAAACATGTCCGTCCTTCTATTCTAACAGCTAATTGCTACTTAGAGATAAAAATTATAAGCGTGTAAAGCACTTAAAGGAGATTCGTTAGAGTAAGTTGAACCGTAAGACTTTTAAAAACAACTTCAGGTTTTTCTGAGGTTTTACACGATCTGTGATAGTTTGGCACATTAAAGTACTGATAGCATCTTAAAACTTAGCTGGTGTGTTTTAGTTCATTTTCAACAACATTGCTTAAAACATCCGATTTAACAAAACTACACCTAGATCAATATTGACTTACATAGAAACTTTGAGAAAAAATAAGATATATCTTGGAGAAATCAGAACGTAGAAAAACTGCTTACCTTTGCAAATTTCTAAACCATCGGAATTGATAATCAACGTAAAATAATTGTCCGGTATATAATTTAAAAATCTGCCATGATGTGTATTTGTATGAGTTTCTAATAATCTTTTACGGTCAATAATCATTTTATTATATGTCTGTGGTATCGATAATATCTGTTGAATCTGTTGATTTAACGATGAGTGGTGAACAGAGTGATGATAATTTTGTAGAACCACATCTACAGCAAGAATTACCTAAATAAGGTGCCAATAATGCAAGAATAAAGCAGAAATCTTTTTA